CCCTACCTTGAGTCATCCTTCTTGAATATCGAGGGGCCGGTTTTGTCATATAGGTCTATTGCCCCCAATTTGCTATCGAGCCGTACTACGTGAACTCGCTTACTGTCTTCTAATTTCTCCTGACCTCACATCATTGGGTCGCCAAATAACTGCCCACTGTCAGCTATTATTTCTCAATTGTCATAGCCTCTTAGCCAACCTTTACTAAAATGGTGTCTTGGCCAGAACATTTGCGACTAAAGCTAATCCAATCCTAAGCTAAGAACCACTGTTCACAACACCATTAAGCCACGGAAATATGGAAGGGCTGCGTAGCACCGTGATCAAAATATCGACGAGAATATAATATCAAATCAATTCTCTGAAATATGTGATTGCCGAGCTTTCGGTGACTGAGTGAGCAGATTGCCCTGAAGAAGGTACTCAGTTACCGACAGCTCGGCAATCACCTATTTCAGAGCACTGATTTGATATTATATTCTCGTCGATACCATTGAGCCACACACGGCCAGTTATCTCTTGAAAATGCCCATCTACTTGTCGATTGTTGGATATTTAACCCAGGGACCTGTCTATCCATTTGGTAGTTCCCATTTCTCGTATATACACACCATTATTATTGTTCATTTATGACACCATAAAACACTTGTGTGCCAGTGTTTCAAAAGATTTCGCAAGTGTATCACACCGGTGACCATCTTTATAAAAGTATTGCACTGAGGCTTTCCCACAGTTCTACATGAAAGTCTTCCCACTTCAATGGGCCCCAAACCGATCATCATAAAATGGTGTGTGTGGCAATTAAAACCTGCTTGCAACAACGTCACTGAAGTCTGAATGCCCCTAGCAAACTGAGGAATTTGATTGATAATGCATATGCATTTGAGTATTAAGCACAATCAGGAAGCCCAGCTAAATCTGCAAGCAGATGTGCATGGCACAAATCAATTGAACAACGCAACGACTTTTTGTCCTATACGTTCCCCAATCCTTGGTCAAAGCAAGGGACAAACCAAAGGATTATGCAGCCTCCTATAGTGGTTGTGACTCAGAAAAGCACTTGCCATAGATCAAACAATAAATTCAATGCAAAATAATACCCAAGGAATGCACACGCTGACGCTGGCTGTCCTAGCTACTCCATACCTACGCAAATGCACTATTCTATAACGCAAGCAAAATGGTTACAATTTTCCTTCACTGAGCCTGTAAAGGCTGCAAACCCTAACCCTTTAGGTTTATATTCCGTGTTTGTTATTGCATCAGCGTTAGCGGCAAAAGCCAAATATGCCCCCCCCAAAAAAAAAAATAATAAATAAATAAGAAATAAAAAAAAATTAATGCGTTCCGCCAGAGACCCTATTCGCCCTGAACTTTCCCTGCCTTTTCCCCTAAATCAATCCATCTTGGATTAGAGGAGCACCGTCGAGGAAATTCGACCGGGTCCTTCACTTCGTGTGATATTTTATACATAACATGAATTACCCTCACCTAGCCTGAATCATCTTTACCTAACTAGTCATTAAACAGGGTCATAATAAAGTGAAACATGGAAAATGTGTTTATGTCGTCTTTGATAGGTCTGCTGTGCTGCCCAGCACAACTTGCGAAACCCTGTAGGGCCACCGAAGGCCTGCACACATAGAACCGCTACAGTCGATTTTCAAACTACTCGTTGCTTATGTAAGACCTCTCCCACAAGGAAGCTTCCACGACGATAATCTCAGGCTTGGGTGGTGGGTTCCTGTACGATGTGGGGGGGGGGTATATTAGCCATGCCCCCAGCGTGGTATGTGATAAAAGACCATACATGCACATGGACATACACAGAGTCAATATTCACCGAAATATAAGGTTGTATTTGTCGGGCCTCTGACAGCGCCGCGCCCACCGATATTAACAGCGGCTCCCCTCGCAGAAAGCAAATAGCGAGCCAAATGAATGAAATCTGAAGAATATTCTCTTGTAAATACTGAAACGCCCCAAGAAGATGAAAGGGGGTCTAACAATGGTCTAAATGCCTTGCTCCCTGGGCGTTTGAATTCAAAGACCAAATGGTGTTTGGATATCTCCTACTCTCTGGATTTAAATAACCTTCCTCTTGGACCAAATCTACCTCCACCACAGAGGGAGAATGAACCATTAACCTCATTCACAAACGATTGAAGAAATCAAACTTTTGCAGAAAATCAAGTCATAACTTTTTACTATATGAAAAAATTCAATTCTTCCCGTAGTCCGTTGGAATAAAAACCCGAACTGTACAATTTATAAACCCAATTTTTGGCTCACTTGTAGCCGCTTCTTCAGTGAGTCTGCAATGTATCAATCTTTGCTTACATCGCTCTTCCAGCGTCCATGACGCTTCAGACAACGCTCACTGATTTGGTTATTGGCTACTTGCGTCACTCACCCTGATCTAAGCGAATGTAAGACTAAATTAAAATCTGGCGCTACTGAAGCTTACATATTCCTTCCCCACGTGGAGTGGGTTGGGTTTCTTAGTGATACTTACTCCTGCCCAGCCTACATATTCAAATTTCCTTAGTGCAAATTACAATTCGCTGGTGATATTCTCAAAGTTTTACACACTGAACAAATCACGATTGAACCAAACGAAAGTGAAAATATTGTGGCGGCGGGACTCGCCGTCGCCCG